GGCTGTGAGAAGTTTAAGAGACTTTGAGTGTTTTTAGAAAAGTGGAAGTGGCTTTTAAATTTTTATTTAAAGTTACAGTACTTAAAAATCACCCTTGAAAGCCACTAAATTGGAAAAATATTTTACCTATCAAACAAAAGTGTAACAACAATGAAAAGTTTGGTTTACTAGTACACGAGCACACAGTAAATTTAAGCTGATGTCATGATTACGAACGGTACTAAATATAAGCCAATAAAAAACAAACACGCATCCAGTTTCGAGAACATACGAATGACGTGTACCAATAATATCACTGGAACTGATAGGATCTCACACTGCTCTCTCGTCCACGAATTTCTGATATTTAAACCCAGCCCGTTACAGCTTTTGATTTATTGCCACGTGTCGACATCATGGTCACTTGTCTTTTGATTCTCCCGAAACAAAAACAATAGTTTAATAAAAAAAAATTAGGAAGCTTTCATCATCTTGTGCCCAACATCTCTAGAAAGTCCTACAAAGTTTTTATTTTTTTCCCCAGTTTTCCGATCTAAGCTTCGATGAGTCGATACTATCGCTAAGAATCTGCCGATTTTTTTAGGTTCGTTTAAATTATTTGTATCGGTGAAGTTTTGTGGAGTTGCTAGTGGAAGAGTCTCTTTAACAGGTGAGTTTATTTGGTTGGAGACTCTTTAGGGTTTTGATCGTTCTTGGAATCTGTTTCGATTGAATTTAATTTTGAAATTATTGGTTCGTATCCTCAATGATTGAATAGCAGCAGCAACAGCAGCTGAGGATTTCTCAGATTTGTTTTTTCTTTTTTTAGTGATTTGTTTTCCATTTAATGCTTCATTTAACTGGGTTTTTAGTGATTTTACTCTCCCAGACTTGGATTGAAATGATGATACCTAGTTCGATTCTGCTAGAGATTACGGCTGAAAATGGATGAATCCTACTTTGTTTGTTTTGTTAACTTTTTTTTTTATGAAATATAGCATCGTTCTTGTTGAGTAAGTGAATGGAAAATTTTCTGTGAATAGGCTTGTTATGAGATTTGACTTTTGGGGTGTAGAATTTGAGTCTACATGTTGGAATCATGAATATTTATAAAGGATGGGTTAAGTTTTATGGGGTTTATAGGTTAACATTCCTTTTTGATTTCATGGGTTTTGAGTCTGGATTAGAAAAATCAAGTTTTTTCTATATGATGAGTTCGATATCACTGTTATTGGAACCTTCTCCAGGTGTTATAATATCTTATGTTTCTTATCCAGAACTAGTTACGGGAGTTACATGTTTTGCAATAGAGATGACATATCGGGATAATGTGCATAATTTTAGTGGGGATTAAAGAGTCTTGAAGTTGGGGAGGAATGTTGGACTTGTGCATTGATGAGGTGAGTTGAGTCACAGTCGTTTATATGCATTTTTTTCTTTCTATCTGGAAATTCATCATTTGGTCTTTTGACATTGGCAAACGTCAACTTTTATTCTTGAGGCGAGACATGTGTGTAGGCTCACTTAGTTTGGTGTACTTAGCATATGGGCTTTGAAAGTTTCTACTCAAGGCTCCATTGTGTATCA